GCTCAGGTTGAAGGAATGAAGGAGGAGGTAAATGGGGATCGCCATGGAGGCAGGTGAGGGCGAATGCTCACTACTGCACTTATTGCCACCATTTGCTGACATTCAGGCCGTTGCAGTTGTTGATGTCCAGACAGACACAGTGGTTGTGGCGCAAGCACTGCCATGGACAAAGTGTGAGAAGAGCCACTTCTACTACTACCTTAGCAACGCCATTTCCCAGCGCTACCTCCAACAATCCATAACATTTCAGACGCGACTTGATGGGAGAACACGCGGCGTCAGAGGCTGTCATCCCCTGTGATTGTGGTTTCCCCATACCCACCCTTGGTTTAAATTCCTTGCCATTAATAATGCTCAATGAGAGACCGCTGCTGCTATTTGTGCCAGTCGCTTCATCGCAAGCACAACGTTTATTCGGGACAGCAGTTGTGGCATTTCTCCTGATGCAGATCTGTCACGTTTTGCACCGCTATTATTGGCTGTGGTTAGTTGCAAAACACAGAATATTTGACACCCGTGCGGCAGTGCCTTAAGTGTTTTCGCCTCACCGAATGACGTGACGACCACTTGTGTCCAGCCGAACATTTGAGTGTGCCTTTCCAACGCACTCCATCATTCGTAGGCCATCTTCTCACCACGTTGACAGTGGCTTGAAGGAGCAGAAGCGTTTGGCGTGCGACTTTTTTGCCTATTCATTTGCGTGAGCATGGCAACCGGTCATTCTGTGATGAGTTGTGGGGGTTGCTGTTGACAGGGGAAAGTGGCGGGCCGTAGCGATGGGAAAGATGGAGTAGTCCATGCTAATGTCTATTACTGCGAGCGAACTAAGTCTCTGCGGAGGACTCACGTTCGCTACTCGGTGCGATATTCATTGATGCGATCGATGTTAAAGTGCTGAGGGAGTACGTGGTGATGAACGGGTGCAACTCTTTTCAGTCTCAATCGCCACACTTATAGTGCATTTGCATGTTCATCATGCCAATTCACCGACCACCGAGCAGAGACGCGTTCCAAATGTCGTTGTACACAGCCAGAACCATCCATGCTTGGCACGACAGCACGACAGTGAACTGGAGACTTGCAACTCCCATCCAAAATTACCATCCATTACCAAATTATCAGTGGCGCGTTCATTCCGTCGCACGGTTCCATGACATGAATGCTGCTACCAATATAAAGTGAGCACAATCACTCGTGCAACAAATGGCCGCAGAGGACTGTGAAGGGTTTGGCGGCAAGTTGGGCCAAATGTCACAAAATGTCTACTACGAAATGTTACTTGCAGAAGCTGACTTGGGACAAACATCATCTGGGACAATGATGCTCGTTGCTGCCGGCTACCTTTCTAGCAGCTTCGATTCAGCCAATATGAGTGCCTCTCCTTGGGGCAGCACATCGAAGCGGTGCTCTTGGCGCCTATGCGATGTCGCAACACCTTGCCTTGATGAGCTATTGCGAGCACGAGATCTTGTGCGGTTTCTTGCTTGAAGTGCATGGCACTCCTGTGTCTGTGGCTCAAATGAGACATGTCAGTTTAGTGCTTCATAAGTCAACCGAACAGCTGCCACCTAAATAGCATGGCCAAAATGTGGTAGAGATGATTGCGACCAAAATCTCCCACGTGAACTGCAAATGGAGAAGTTGGGAGCACTTCAGTTCTGCCACCATCATTCATGGTTGCCACTAAGAGCGGGTTGAGCTATACCACCTCGACTATACTAAAGCACTGTTGGTAGTGACCTTCCTCCAGTTACAAATCCTCTATC